AAGATTTTGCATATATATGCTTGAAAGTTTTATTTTAAGAAAACAATAGTAGTAACTAGTAAGTTTTAACTTAAGTTACATTTGTTGCAGTTATGGTAACACTGCTAAAAAACTTAGAATGTTGTCTGTTAACTTTGTATCTTGTACCGAAGGGACGGCCCAGTTGGTTTAGAGGGTGTTGTCCACACGGGCGATGCGGGTTTGATTCCCCTTAATGCCCTCTGGGTCTGAGCCTATCGCACGGGGTTTGCCTAGTGCCGTTTATATCGCACAGAGCCCTCACCCGAAGGGCAGAGGTTGTGACATAGGCTGTGGCGGCTGCGAGTTTTCTTGGGGGTCCAAAAAAAAAAAAAAATTGTATCTTGAATTCTAGTAAATATAAACTGTGATTGACCCTAATAAGCATGTGGTGTGACTCAAAATCCGAATCTTGTTATGTTTTTTTCTATTTGTTTCGTGTGTGATTGTGCGGTATTTAGCCACCATTGTAACATTGTCCATAAAGATTACGCTGCCATGCAAAAAGAAAAAAAAGAATGTCATTATTACAATCTTGAGAGTAAAAGAGTTTTTTCTTCTGTCACAAACATGTTAAATATCTTAACAGGAATTCTTTTTGTGATTTATGGTAGTGACTTTTTTTGGGGGTCAATTGTAGTAGTGATTTTAATGTAGCTTAAATATGTAAACTTTATTTTTAAAAAAGGAAAAAATTGATGTTTAGTGTTCATACTGAATATAGATGCAATGGTTCTCATACTTAGAGGCCGATCGATGTTTTGAACATTAAGAGTTTGAGTTTGGGATTCTACTACATTCCATTTGATTTATTGTTTTTTTTTCTTCTTATTTAGCATACTTTTTAACGCACATACTTTGATCTGAGCCAAAGTTTCTAGTTTTGGATTAACCCGTACCTTATGCATCACATCCGCCTTTGTTCATACTTAAAAGTTAAAACATTGTCCTTTAGGATGAGGGATTGGATTTTTTGTTTCTTGGAGGGGGGAGGGTAGGAGCTGATGGCATTAGTGGCGGATGTAGAGTATAGTTACTGGGTTCCCAAGAATTCAGTAACTTTTGCGGAGACCCTGTATTTTTATTAAAAAATTCATTAAATATCTATAAATATATAACTGTCAACTCAGTTATTGTTGTATATTAATTTGAGATTACAATAGGAACCCATAAACTTCAAATCCTGGATTCGCCGGCATGGTGGATGGCGAGCTACTAGTTGAAGGCATTGGAAGAATCTTTAAAGTGTCTCCTAAGTACATCTTCAAATTAATAACTAAAAAGGTTACACAAAATCTTGACATGTCGCAGTAGGTAAGGAAGCATCGAGATTTTTGGAAGTCCTCGCTTCAATATTACAACTTTTAGCTTTCCTTATAAGGAGGTGATGGAGTTCGTAGTAGGATTACATATTTCAAGAATATTCAAAGTGAAACTCTTAGATATCAGGGCNACTATATAATGACACCCCTTGACTTCTTGATGAGTTTATTTCTTTATGTTTTGACTCCCCTTAATGACAATTCTGGCTCCGCCACTGCTTGTCATATTTTTTTTTTTGGTGGTATGAGGTACCGTTCAATAAAATTGCGAAAATTTAAAAGTGTGTCCTTAACATTTAAGACTATTTCTTTGTTCATGTTTCTTTTTTTCCCTTTTGCAGTCTGGAGCTAAAGCTAAATTTTGGTAAATATAATCGGTTATGTTTCTAGTGTTTGTCAATGTAGGGTGCTTTACCTATATATAATCGAGCATGAAAAATTCAAGTTCAAGTTTTTTAAATGAAGTATTGATTGGTGCTACTATCTTGTTTAATATTGTATCCTTGAGAGGCCTTAAACTTATAAGCTAGAGTTTGTATAGTTTACAACATTAGAAGGCTGAATTGAATAGTTCTTGTTGAACGTTTGTTTGCAAACTTATTTTTGGGATGGATTATTAACTTTATTTGTTGTGTTGATTGCTAGTGAAAAAGCCAAGAGAGCAAGTTGCAGATGCGGAGGCATTGTTTGATCTCACCAAAACTTTGGCGGCTTCTGTTAGATCACATTCCACTGGTGTTACACCTTATATATTCATTTCCTCTTTGCTTGATGTTTTTGGGAGTCAAGGTTCAAAAGGTCGTTCTTTGAATGCTAATACACTTTGGAAACATATTGGGCTTGCTGTTTCACCAATTTTTAGGAACGCCGGAGGTTGCCTCACTATGTAAGCTTTCCTTTGTAACTTCTAATTCTTACAATCTGCACACTACTCTGTTGCATGAGACGCTCTTGCATTCTTATGTGCTGTTCTTTTCTGCTTTTTCTGAAGGCTCGGACCGATGAACTGTGAAGTTAAGCAACGGAAGGTTACACGTAGACCACGGACAAAGGTGCACTCACGTGCTCGTCCAAAGGAGGTATGTGTAACTATCTCATGACTTGTGTTTAAATGCAGTTAACATTGCAGACATGTGCAGGCAAGAGTTAAGTAGGTTTTATGATATCGACACTAGAGTGCATTCAGAAAATTTCCTTACTTGATATTCATAGCTGGACTCCATGATTTATACATGTAGATACTCGATATACTATGAGTATCTCCTAAAGCTCTCATGTGTAGAGCTTGTCGATATATATGGTAATATAGTAAATAACAACAACAACAACAAACCCAGTAGTTTTCCACGTGTGGGGTCTGAGGATGGTAAGATGTACGTAGCCTTACCCTTACCCCTGGAAGGGCAGAGAGTCTGTTTCCGATAGACCCTCGGCTAGAGAACGACCGAAAAAGAAAAGGTAATTGTAACAAGTAGGAATAACAGCAAGATGAAATAAAATCGAATCTAGTAAATGGAGCTGAAATAAGGCTAATACTGCTTGATTTTGCATTTCATTTAGCTTGTTGCTACTATGACATTCCAATGTGATGCAATAATCTGCTTTTGTCACAGCTTGAAGTTAACGCTGAGGAGAAAACAGATACAGACAAGAACATATCAACAATGTTTCAGATCCTTAGGAAGAAGAAGCAAGTTAAGCTTGAGAGTCTCATAATGAACAGAAAATCCTTTGCGCAAAGCATTGAGAATTTATTTGCACTATCTTTTCTAGTGAAAGATGGACGGGTTTTCATAGACGTGGATGAAAGTGGATCTCATTTTGTCTGTAAGATACCTTTCTGAATCTTTTTTTGAGAGTTCCTTTTATATTTGTCCTTCTCTTTCTTGATTCCTCTAGGTCTATAGTGTGTTTCTCCTTTCTAATGTTTTTCCCTTCTCAGCTCCTAGGAACGGTCCCGATGCCACTGCAGTTAAGTCTGGTGAAGTTAAATACAACCACTTTGTCTTCAGATTGGATTTTGCTGATTGGGAGGTAGGGAATTATATCTAAATCATATTTCTGTGTCCATATTAGGTACTTAGAGAGTAGGATCCTAGCATTTTCTATGACGTGCATTTGAAAGCTTCCAGATTGATTTCTTTGTTACTCGAGCAACTCTCGGTTTGACATTGTGTCAAAATTGCATGTGCATGCAGCTGATGAAGAATGCAGTAGCAGAAGGAGAAGAGCTGATGCTAAACAGGGACATATCGGCGAATCCAGGCATTACTGAAGCTAAACCAGTTCTAATCGACAATTCCAAACCAATTTTAAATGTCACTTGGGTCAAGAAATTTTCAAGGAACCGTGGCAATGTTTTACGCAAAACTTCAGAAGTTGATGATTCCCCTGAAATTGGTGATGCAAACATTTGCAATGTCAGCCTGAAGAGGAAGTTGCTATGAGGTTGGAGATATCTCTGTATATACCAAATAGGCTATTTTTGGTGTACATAAGAAATGCAGACCTCATTAATTTGCTTAGGATCAATTTTAGCTGCCTTGTTCTCTGGTAAGGTAGAGTTAGTTAATGAGTGGTTTCTTTTGGATGTAAAGCTGCTGGATCCGAGGCTTTCATATCACAGGGACTGATCAATATTTTCTTGTTAAAAGTTCTTAAATCATTAACCCTTTCTAATCATAGTAGTATTTCTTTTATTGTTTTATTTTGAACTTTCTGCCATCTCTCGTTACTTTCTTTCCATTTTGTACCATATAATTAATATTTGAGAAAATTGAAAATAATTGCACTTTTCATATGAAATTTTTAGTTCATATGGTTCTTATTTCTTTAACAAGCATTTGAAAGTAGCTGCAAATAAAGGCCCCTAAAAAGCTGAAAGCTAATTAGCTATGAAGTACTGAGAGGACCCAATAGCTTTGAGCTCATTAGAACAATATAGTTAAATTTTGCCCAAAATATGAAGTTACAATGGCAAAAAAGTATGCACATGTTTTTTCTTTTCTTTTCGATAACCGATAAATTACCATCGAGAAATCCCCAAGGGCCGATTGGTGCACGATTTGAAACTCAGAGGATAATGGACTAATCCATAACCCTTTCTCCACTTAAATACTAGGCTTGTCCCGAGGCAGAGTTCAAACTTGTGACGGGCGCTAAATTCACATATCACAATGTACTACCACTGAACCAAAGCCTTGGCGCAAACGTAAACACATACTCTGCTTCAAATTGTTATTACTATTTTTGGCTGAATCATCCTAGACAAAATATATTACCTTTTCAAGTCTCAATGTGGACTAGAATGTGCCTACACAATATATTATTTGTTTCAAGCCTCAATGTGGATTAGAATGTGCCTACAGAAGGAGCAACTAGGACATAATGCCAAGTTATCAACAAAAGAAAAGGAGAATAAAGTTTTGTTTCAGCAAACATGGTTAGGGACCTAAAAAAAAAAAGGCAGCCCGGTGCACTAAGCTCCCGCTATGTGTGGGGTCCGGGAAGAGCCGGACCACAAAGGTCTATTGTACGCAGCCTTACCCTGTATTTCTGCAAGAGGTTGTTTCCACGGCTTGAACCCGTGACCTCATGGTCAAGCAACTTTATCAGTTACGCCAAGGCTCCCCTTCAGGTTAGGGACCTAGTGAAAGAAGATTACTGGAAACTCATTACTTCTATTTACTCTATAAAATATCAATCATACAACAATAGATGATTTCGTGGAGGCCGCTGGCCTAGCCATTCTTGGCTCTGACCATAACAAGTTTAAAAAAAACATAATGACTTGTACACAAATACAAATTCACCTAGAAGGAATATCTTCTATCCCTCGTTCTTGGGAATGTTGAGGTCTTTAAATAAAGGACTGTCGATTCCCACACCCATTGCGTTCAAACCGTTGTCAACGTATAAAACAGCACCAGTAATCGCTGAAGCCAGAGGCGATGCTAGGAATGCAGCCGTGTTTCCTACTTCATCTATACAAGAAGAAGTTTTTCCAGAAAGCATATTAACAACAGCCTAGGGAGAGGCGGTAAAGAAAACATTTTTAGTAAGAACTTCTGCGGATGATTTACCTGCTGATAATTCTTTCTGTAGAGGTGCATTGGCTATGGAGTACTCAATCATCATATCTATGAAACCAATTGCTTTTGCGGCTCGACTTCTTAATGGGCCTGGATAGAGATATGTTTCTCTAGTCAATAAAAGAATTTGCATGAAAGGAACATTACATAAAGAAATGAGTTGGAACAAAAAGTTGGAGTAGTGGTTGCTTTGCTTCTTGGTAGACTTCCGAGGTTATTCTATAACTTGGTTGAGGTGTTATCATATAGAGAAAATCATAATCCAAAAGACAATAAATGGACACATACCGGCAGATATTGTATTCACCCTAACTTTCTTTTTTCTTCCGGCCTCGAAAGCAAGCACCTACATCATTAGCATGACTCCTTTCAATGATAAAATGCAATAAAATTTGGGTGGATATTAGATATTCAAGGGGAGAAAACCATATAGTTTCTCCTCTTCTCTTTTTTTTCCGCCAGGCAGAGAATATAGAACAACTCACTCTGGTATCGCTCTCGAGTGCTGCTTTGGCAGAACTCATTCCCCCTCCATATCTGCGAATGACATATTTCAAACCAATGATTCCTCTAGCGACAAATAAAATTTTAAAACAATAAAGCAAGAAGAGGGGAAGAATAGTGTGTACCCTGGAATGATCCTCTCAGACGCAATATAGGTAAGAGAAATTGAGGAACCACCTGTTATAAAACCATCATTTATTTCAAAAGGAACATTTTGGGGAAGTACATAAATGCATAGATGGACAAACAAGGAGCAAGAAATGGAAGGAAAACATAAATGAAATGGCAAACTAAAATACATGCCTGGGTTCATAATTGGAAGGAAATGCTTTAGTAAAGACACATAGGAATAACTTGATGCTGATATTGCCGCAAGGTATCCTTTCCTCGATGTCTCTAGAAGAGGTTTAGTCACCTAATGGTTGAATGATTTCATGAGAAAGATCACATATGAAGAAGCAGTGTTTACAATTTCAAAAAGTGCTATACCTCCGGCCCATTGGCAAGTGAATGTACAAGAATGTCAATGCTGCCAAAATCCTCCTTAACAGATTCTGCAACTTCCTATAAACAAGAGAAATATGCAACTGAGTTATACAAACTTTAGAGGACATAACAATTAATAACAGGAAGATGAAGATGTCTTGATACTAGCCTAAAATGATTACCAACACAAACATGAAACTACCAGATATAGAGATAAGAAAAACGGATATTTTTAATTTGTTTAAGGAAAGTATTAATAATAACCACGGTAGTTACGCTAATTGAATGTCCAAATCTAGTTCTTAAGAAAGCTGAGCCAAAGCAACAAGAGTTACACATTTCGTTCGGCATGCACAAAGAAGTGTGAATGAGGAGAACTACATACCGAAACTGTCCACTTAGAAGAACCAGCATAACGCTTATTTGCCTTTATCTGCAAGGTAAGAATAAAAACAGTTTTAGGGAGATGCAATTGGAACACTATAAGAAATTTTCACGTAACCATATTCTTTGACATTACATCTTCAGGTACATCCTCAAGACTGTCAAAAACAGCATCCAGTGGGTATACTTTTGTAATCTCCATCAAAGAGCCATCTGGCAAACTGACAAAGATGCATTTAGAGAGATGTTAGTTATAAAGCCTTTTTTGCAATGATACAAAATAATCACAAGTTTAGACTCTAACATGCGTGATTCATCAAACTTCCCACGTCGCAGACTTGTTTCGAAAATGTTTAAGGCCTGTTCAAGGAAATGCAAAAACATCAAAATCTTTGAATATATATAAGGAGACTTCAAGCTAAAATCCAACAAGAAATTGTAAATTTCACTTACCGGAACCCAGGTTCCAACTAGAATTTCAGCTCCCGCAGCAGCCAGGGACTTAGCAATAGCCCATCCGTATCCATTATCATCAGCTATACCAGCTATAAATGCCCTTTTACCTGCAAAGAGCATTTAAAATGGAGATCTCAAGTTTTTTTTTTTACCAATAAAATGGAGATCCCAAGTTTAAAGGGGGGGAGGAGAAAAAATAAGTCGATCGGCAGAGAACATCCACCATCTCTTCCACGCACTCCTAAGATCTAAAACCACACAAAATCTAGAAAAGCTTTTGAAAACTAAAAATTCAAAAGAACCTGACCTTTTAAATCAATCGGAAGACCAGAGGCAGCCTTGCTTTCATCAGCTTCTGATTTTGCCTTGGTGACAACTTTCTCTAACTTTTGAGACGTCGATGTGAAATTGCGCCAAAAATCTTGAATGGATGAAACACAAGAGCTACTGGCAAGTCTATTCCATGACTGTTTTCTAGTATTAGCACTAAACTTTATTGAGCAGACACTGGAAATTCTTTTTGTAGAGAATATGGATGGCCTAGCTATCGTTATTTGCAAGCTTGAAGCTGCAGTTGCTGCCATTTCTAGCAGACAAAAACATAACGGTATCACTCAGAAAGCTACAACCTTATATTTTCACAAGTAAATTCAGAAATGTACAAGCTGTATGTAGGTTTATAAAGAAACGTAATGTAAAGCAAGCTGCAGTTTTCGTCTCGGACAATTCTGATCTGAATTCTCTTACATCAATAGCACATTACACCTTCAAATCTTTTATTAAAAGCAGTCAGTTCACTTGATGATAGAAATACCAAAAAAAAACATAGCAGTTAGCTAAATCACTAGCCTTATTTCTTCAAATTCCAGAAATATGAAAAAGTAAAAATCCTGGAACTCCCAAAGCTAAGCTCCTTTCCTCAAAATCAAAGTAAAATCAGCTCATTTGAACCCATGTCCTGTTTTTAGCACTCCTTACAAATACTACCCCTTTCTTGCCTTAAATAAAACAAAAATAATAATGAAACAGGATACATACACCTAAATATATATCATCTGCCATCATGAGTTACATATCCTAGTCATCTTTCTGTTTTTTTAGTTAAAGAAAAGAAGATGAAATTGGATACATAAACCTAAATAGATTGTAGCTAACACCAACATCACAAAGTTCTTTTTTTTCTTTTCCATTGTAGGTAACCGAACTAATAATTCTCTTAATTACTTCAAGAGAAGCAACTTCAACAACTTTCTCAATATCTCATGCATACAAATTAGAAACCAAATGCTACATCTCATGCATATCGTAGTTCTCTCTCTCTTTTTTTTTTTTTTTTTTTTTTTTTTTTTTTTTTTTTTTTTTTTTTTTTTTTTTTTTTGTATTTTCAGTCTTGTAGTAAACACTATAAATTGTACACCAATGACTACACAAGTGACCAAATCATCTCCTACACTCCACCCTCCATCACCAGAGGCGGATTCAACATATTGTTCACAGATTCATCTGAACCCAATATTTTCGTCGCAGGCATAAATTTATGAGTAAAGATTCACTAAATGTGTAACAATTAGCCGATATGAACCCATAACTTTAAAAATACAAGGGGTGCAATGCTAATAACCTTAAAGGTTGAACTTATAGAATTTAAATCCTGGATCCGCCTATGTCCATCACCCGTCAAAACATAAAACCAAGACCACAACTAGAAAAAAAAATATTTAAGCATACTAATAACGGTAACATTCTTGACAAGTATCTCATCCAAAACAGACCCATGGCAAGGGCTTACATTCCCCAGAAACTACATCATTAAACCCTTAAAAATGAAAATTTGAAAACACAACACACATTCTTAAGCTCAGTTCTGTTCAAAATGCAGCCAAAATTAAGTATAATTTCAAGCAGCAAATACCCAAAAAAAGATAAGCAGTAAAAACTGAAACTTGTACACATTTGAATTACTACATAATTAAACCCTCAAAGATGAAAACTTTAAAACATAACACAAACTTTAGACTAATGTTTATACCAAATGCAGCAAAAAATTAAGCATAATTTCAAGAAATCAATACCCAGAAAAAAAGATAAGCAGTAAAAACTGAAACTTGTAAGAGGGTAATGAGAGAGATATGAACCTTGAACAAATGCGAAAATAGTTGACAGAATTGTGGGTATAAGGGGTTTTTGGTTTTTGTTGCTATCCTTTGGAGAAGAACTGAGTCAGCATTAACAGTAGTAGTAGTTGTCTGTTGGAGTCTTTAAAGAGGGAAATGAAGTGCTGTCGTATTTATGGGCCTACAATATCACTGGGCTTAGATCGTTGTTGGGCTTTAATATCTGAAAGCAGGAAATTATGGTAGAAATGACACCATATAGCCCGTTTAAAGGGATGCTATTTAAGAATTAGCCAATGTATCTTGATTCAACTTTTCAAGACACATATATCCTAAATTATCCTGAAATTAAGATTTTTAGTTTAAATTTTTAAGAAAAATAAGTATTGGCTATCCCTAAGTAGCAGCCATAAGAATGCCCGTTTGTGTACTTTCCCCCGAAATTATGCTAGATGGAACTTCTTAGAACTACCATTTATATTTTGATCCCGTTAAGAAAAAATTTAATAAAACAACCCCGCGCCAGAATTTTAAAGTTTCCTGTCAGAATTTGAAGCATGCTGTCAAAATTTTAATTAATATATACAAATTAATAATTTAGAAAAACCTAAAAGGTTTAGAAAAGAATTATTTAATTAGGCTAATAATCATATGGCAAGCAACTTCTCATTTGTCATCAATCATCATATACTAGGTTTATAATATGTTTTGGGAAACTATCATCCTACTATTTGCAAGTCAGAACAACATCTCCATCAACTAGAAATGAAAAAAGAGAGGGAAAGGAGAATGATATCCACTCTACGAATATATAGGTCAACTTAAAACTTCGTTAAACCCTTCGGGTTGTCCAGTTGGTTTGGAGATCAGTCATCCAGTCATCCATACGGATGATCTGGGATCAATTCCCCCTCAATGCCTTCTGAGTTGAGCTTGTCGCACGGTTTGCAGACTATTACACAAGGGGGAGGTTTACCCAATGCGCACAAAGTGCTCAGCTGAAGGGCAGAGATTATAGCGGCTGCGGATTTACCCTCTTACAAAAAAAAACTTAAAACTTTGTTTTTGTATACAACTTTATGTAATGATTTCGACAAAAGACATGTAATTAAAAAAAAGTGCAGCCTTGTAAAATACCGCAAAAATAAATTGTTTGTCGCATGTTAATTGGATTTTCCTAAGAATCTTCGTGATGTGATGTTAATCGAATGTTGCTTTAGGGGAGGTGAGAACTGGTCATATTACTTAGCTTTTTATTTTCCAATTTACATAAACTAACGAGAATTTATCAAACATAAAAAATTATTAAAGCAAAGACGTGTAATTGCAAGTGCAGCACCAGTGAACACTTTCTGAATTGAACTTCAATGGAAAATCCCAACACATAAATGAAAATTCTAGCATAAATAATATTTAGAAAATTAGAAGCAATCATGTCAATATAATAATCACATAAGAGGATCATGCTTCAGTTTATTTCACTAACAAAACACATTATTCTGATTTTTTTTTTAAAAAAAACATAGAAATGAGAGCACTTGAATTTCTTAATCACTTTCTTCTGACAACCGTAGAATCAGCCGCTGATGATTGCATTAGGGTAGGCTGTCTACATCACACTTCCTTGAGGTGCGATCCTTCCTTAAATCCTGCGAAAATGCAAAATACTTCGTGCAACGGGCTGTCATGTTCTTCTTCCGATAATCAAACTTTATCAAGCACTTGACTCTCCTTTTCTCCATCCTTTGTGCAAGATTCATCACTTCCTTCATGTTGAATACCTTTATACCATTTTGCAAACACC